GTTGGGGTCCATCTTCTAGGACCACTGAGATTAACTGAAGTCTGTCATGTGGGGTAGCCTTATTGCTTGAAGCCAATGTTTATACCATTTCCCTAACAAATGGTGAGTGGAAGCTATAAGATATTATTGCTTTCTTAATTTCCTTTAGATTTCTCATACACATAGCATGTCATTTATATTCTTTGGCTACCAGATGGGCTTCTCAGAAGACATTACTGGATAAGCAGTAAATCTCTGGGAAAATCATCCCAGATTCTGGCACATACTGGTGAGGCTAAAACCTGTCCTTGTATCTTCTCTCCCTGCTCATCAGTTTTGATAATAGTCTCAATCTTTTTAAATCTTTTTACCACTACCTTTTATAAAGGCTATATTTCCTATCCAGTGTTCTGTTCTAATGCCCTCATTGATTCATTTAGCTTCTGGTCCTTATTCTGCACATATGATTCCAATATATGAAGTTTGTCCAGTAAAGATAACATTTTAACTTTGGACATATTTTTCATGGCATGCATATTGCTTTCCTGCAGAGATACATTATTTGTTAACCTATCATAACTTTTCAACAGATTCCAGTTGTTAAATTCAACAGCATGAATTCTTTCTGATAAGTTCTCAACACCATTCAACGTTGATTAGATTTTGTCTGTCAAATTAATGTTTTCCTTTTCAACAGTATTTTTTCAGTTGGCTGTTCATTATAAGTCTGTAAAGACTGTATTATTTATAAAAGTGCCTCATTCGTGACTCTGTTATCAAACCATTTTCTTAAAGATATAATATGAAAAACAAAGCTAATTCCCAAAATCAAATAAATGGCTATATAAGAAAATTCACATAAGCCTTGCAGAATAACATAAGCAAAATAGTTATTAAATTCCAGAATGGTAATATTATCAGTCATCATATAGCTCTCAAATCTTACCTGGCTCAGGTAATTAGAGTAAACTGGAGTAGATGTAATCATCTTTATTGGCCATCAGGTGTCATGGTTGTAGCCACATAGTAGATGAATGCAGAAAAGAGACACAAGCAGCATCTCTAATCTGGTCCCACTCTGGTTTAGTGTACACACACTGTCACCTACTTAAATACTGACATATATGCTTTGTTTAACAAATTAAGAGCAGTTGTTAATGACAATCAAAGTGATTCTGAGAGTTGGGGGCCAGAACAAAAGGAAGCCCAAAGCTTTCAGTCAGTCAAGAACTATGAACTGTGCACCACCAGGGGAAGTAATGTAGCAGGGATTGATGGTTGCAGTAGCAACGACATGTGGATATAAATACTGTAACTGTAATTCTTGCTTGATAACTGTTTTGTTATATGTAATTTTACTATGTTAAAGTGAAAGCCTTTCTTTTCTGTTTAAACAGAAAAAGGGAAAATGATGTGGGAGGGTCTTCTTTCTATGTCTTGCTTTCATTGGTTGAATAAAGAAAACTGCCTTGGCCTTTTGATAAGGCAGCCCTTAGATGGACATGGTAGACAGAACAGAATTCTGAGAGGAAGAAGACAGAGTCAGGCAGATGCCATGCTTCTTCTACCCAAGACAGATGGTGGTAAGACTCATGCTGGTAAGCCACAGTCAAGTGGCGATACACATTAAAAGAAATGGGGTAATCAAGATGTGAGAGTTAGCCAGTAAGAGGCTAGAGCTAATGGGCCAGGCAGTGTTTCAATGAATACAATCTGTGTGTTGTTATTTCGGGTGTAAAGCTGGCTCTGTGGGAGCTGGGCAGGACAAAAAGCAGGCCTGGTCACCTCATCACTACACAAGAACCAGAGACCAGTTATTCTAGGGAGTTTGGTATAAGCAATACTACTGTCCTTTAAATGTAGCAATAAAATAACTGCTAAAGGTATTCTCCTACACTCAGATGAGTGTCTCAACACTCAGTCCTAAGTAGATGCCTCCATCACCCCTGATAGAGCTCCATGAACCCATGGAGGAAGAAGAAGAGTCAAAGAGAATAGAGAACACCAAGTTACCAAGACACTCTAAACCTTTGACTCTCAACCTTTCTAATGCTGTAACATGTTCCTCAAGTTGTGGTTACCACAAAACATAAAATTGTTTTCACTACTACTACATAACTAATTTTGACACTGTTATGGTTTGTGATATAAATATCTGATATGCAGGATATCTGATATACAGCCCAAGTGAAAGGATCTCTAGGTGTTCCACCCTGGAGGTGGAAAACCACAGCTTTAAACCATCATGATCAAAGTTCAAATGAACTCAGGGACTGGAGAATAGCATGCACAGAGCCTCAAAGTGTCTTCTGAATATGTTATGGCTTCCAACTTAGGGTTTTCAGTAGGATTCATGCATGTGCAAATGAAGACCTTTGATTCTTGTGCCTTCTCTTGGGCTTTTCTTCACATTTCTTTGTCTTGTTAAATTCTGATGTAACATTTATTGTTTTTCCTTTCTCGATTTTACTTTGTCATATTATGTTGTTATCACTTAGAAGCTAGTTTCTGTTCTAAGAAGAGAGAGAAAAGCAATAGTTTCAGGTGGGATGGGGTGTATGGAGGAACTTGTAGGAGTAGAGCAAAGGAAAACCATAATCAAGATGTATCATATAAGAAAAAATTATTGCTAATAAAAAATATAAAAATGTAAATGTTATTGTCATAAGGATCATCACTCACCTCCCATTAACATCTTGAAGAAGCAATGGAAGTACTGGAGTATTTTCATTTGTGTGATTGATAGTCTATTTATTACTAATTATGGATACTATGAAGGAGGAGTAGCGTAAGGATGAGGTGATTTCTACAACACATGCAGAAGACAGTGGACCATTTTATGGAGTCAGCACTTGTCTTACAGACATAAGTAGTCTCATGGAATGGGTCCCATGTCACCAAATTACATGGCTGGCCTATCAATCCCTGAGCCTTCTCCCTAATACCCAAGAAATTATTTTTAAAACTAATCATTGTGAACACTTTGACCCATTTATCATAAAGAAGCATTACAGGAAAGCTATTGTTGATGCTTCAGCATTTCTGAAGATCAAGTTTTAATGCTTTATTTGTTCTCTTCAGGTCCAGCATAGCACTATAATCCTAAGGGTCCAATAGGGGAACATACATCTTAGTTGTAGATAATAGCGATCTAATAGGATTTAAGGTCTTTCATACAAGGAACATTGCCTAGTTCTAGAAAGCTAACTAACTATCCGGAGCTAGTGTCATTACTAAATAAACAGAATTCCTAATTGCAATCTAAATAATATTTGTCCTTGTACTCACAGATTAATATAGCTCTTACAACTATTCAAAAAATTCCTATAGCCTTAGACAAACACTATTAAAAAACAGAAACCAATAAATATAGAGATAACAAGAGATTGTTTGGGGTCCATTCATAGCTGATTTATCAATAACAAAACTCCTATATCTAAGGTTCAGGAAACATTATGTAAGATGGGGAAGAAAGACTGTAAGAACCAAGGGAACAGAGAGTTTGCTATGAGACTACATCTCCTAAAAATATAGTCAGCCCTAAACTTATATAGAAATAAATAGTATTATACAGACTAATTATATCACATTCATGTATTAGAAGGACAAAAATATGTGTGTCATTGTATGTGTACATATATAAAGGTAATTAAAATAAATATGAATTTGAGAGAACAAAAGAGGTATACAAGAGACATTTAGAAGAGTAAGGGAAGGAGAAATGCTATTACACTTCAATAAAAAATATGTTAACAAAGTTTTAACTTTAGAAATATAGAGTATTATTTAAGAAAAAAGTCTAACCATATGATAAAATAAAACATAATAAACAGTATAAGTGCATACTACACTCTCAAGTTTGTGTGGCCAATAATCAGTTCTGTTTCAAATATTTTCATTTCTTTGCAATGTTTTGCAACTTCTTGGACTCTGACAGATTTTTCTAGAAATACATCATAAGAATATTGAAGTTTCTTATCTCGGTTCATTGTCATTTATTTAATCAGTCTTACAGAAATAAAGAAAAAGTGCTATAGGGCCTGGAATGAGACTTATAAATTAAAAATATCAGAAAAATATTAAACAAATTTCAAATTGAATGTATTAAACATTCTCAAAGATTTTTATGTTAACCATTCAAAAATGAAGTGAGACAATACAATATAATAAAGATATATCTGGGATTTTAGGTAAAGAATTGTAAGGGTATAGGACTGGAGAGATCACTCAGAGGTTAAGAGTGTGTTCCACACTTGCAGAGGACACAACTTCAGTTCGCTATGCCAACACCAGGAGGCTCACAATTGCCTGTGACTCCAGCTCCAGGGCAGCCCATCCATGTGTTTTTCTGGCTGTACAAGGAAACAACACTCACATGCACATAGTCACATAAATTTAAAATAATTTTTAAACAATGTGAATGCTATATCTTAAAACAAATTTCAATTAAGGCAAAAATATTACTTCTCTGATTTTTGAAAATAAATGTAATTTTATTATTGTAAAATCTATACAGTCAATCAAGAAAAATATTGAATAATTATAACTCAACATTGGATTATTACCAGCATAATCATTTTGATCAACACATTAGGATTGTTGTTATAACAAGAGTAATGCTCATTGGACATTTTCTACAGAACACCAGAGGAACGATTGAGTCTTAGATTTAAAAAGCAACAACATGCACACTTTTAGGGCAATAATCAAATTGATTATTTGAGTAAAAGTTGATGTATCCAGGATGCAACTCAGTTGTAGTCATGGAAAATTGTGTTTCTGGTGAGCTGATGATTGAACAATTTCCAAGAATCTGCATCACTTCCAGGCTAGGGTAAAGGGGGGGGGGTCTTGTAAACCCGCCTATGTAGACATATACTTTTAATCCAAACATTAGTTTGGGGCACTCTCAAGTAGATCTTTGAATTCAAACCCAGCCTTCTCTACAAAATCCATTCCATGCTAGCCAGAGCTACAGAGAATTATGTCTGGAAAAAAGTAATAAACATGGGGTGAAGGCGATGTGCTCTGTTAATCAGTTTTCCGTGCTGTGGTCAGGTAGATACTTCAAGACTCTCACGACATCCTGTAAGTTTTATGCTAGCTCTGCCCCCTTGTCAGTTAAAGAAGCACCATGCTGTCTGTGCTCCTAAACCTTGTGTGTATTGGTGAGTCCTGCTGGGAATGAAGGGTGTGGAATTACAGGGTGGGAATATTGCTCTGGGAGATTGGATCCATCGACAACAGAAACACTGGCTTCTATGGTGGATAATGATGCATTAGTTCATTTTAACAAAGTGAACTCTGGGTCCTGGTCATGGTGGTGCACACCTTTAACTATGCCTGTCAGTCTCCTAACTCTCTGACCATCAGAGAAGGTGGAATTGTGCCTCTACAGTGGTGGTGGCGGCGCACACCTTTAATCCCAGAACTATGGAGACAGAGGCAGGTGGATCTTTGTAAATTTGAGGTCAGCGTGGTCTACAAGAGCTATTTTCAGCACATCTAGGGTTATTACATGGAGAAATCCAGTCTCAAAAAAACCTAAAAATTTTAAAATTCAAAAGAAAAAAAAAACAAAGTGACCTCTGATTCTACTGTACAGAGATTCTACAATGGGGATGGGGAGGTCAGATCACCAGGATATTGGAAGGGGGTAGATCTTCCATCTTGTGCTTTTTTTCCCAGGCTTCATCCTATTCCTGACTCCTTTGGCACAAGCAGGTAAGTACATCCTTAAAACAATTACAATAGTTAAGTTTCATTCTAAGAGGAAAGCCTGTATTATGGAGTTTTGGAGAGTAGTTTCTATGAGGGACTTCTTGGTAAGTCTTCTGAACTTTAAAGTTATAACCCTAGAAACCTGCATCTCAGTTCTCTCTGAGATACTCCCACACTCTGCCTTTGCTTGAGTAAGGCATAAGCATTAATCAAATAAACTTTCTATTGTTATTCAACACAGGGTTTCTCTGTGTGGCCCTGACTATCCTAGAAATCACTTTGTGTAGACCAGGCTGACCATGTACTCAGATATTTGCCTGCTTCTCTCACCCAAGTGCTATAATTGAAGAAGTGAGTCATAAAACACAAAGGATAATCAACATTTTAAATAAAAGATAATCTTCTCCTGTACTATACTCTCCACCTGACCACCTCCACATATTCTGAGATTTTCACATTGTAATTTATGATGTTCGAATATGGTTGTCACTTGACAAATTACCGAAGATATTATTTTTGCCTTCAAACACCTATGCTAATGATAGAACTTGTGTACCACCTGCATAATATTGCAACTTTTTATTTTGGCTTGTTTTTAGTGAGCTATTTTTACATTCTCTACATGAAGATGTTTTTGTAACTCATTAGCAGCCTTTTTCTTTCAATCTGAAGGACTCTACAATGCTTAGTGTGCTTATGGTGATTGACTATTAATGCTACTATTTTTTAAAAGTATTATTCATATTTCTGAATGACAGTGTTACTGACTTTTGGAGGCAGAATTTTTCTTTGTTACACTCATTCCATTATTCCATCATGTTGATCTCTTGTGGCTTATAGGTCTTTGCTCAGAACTTGGCCATTAGATGTATTGGAAGTACCTTGCATATTCTTTGTTTCTTTTATCATTCTGATTTCAGGGTTTCTTATAATAATAATATGTTCTGTGATCATGATTATGTGGGTTGAATTTCTTTTGTGTCAGTTGGCCTCTGGTACCTCATCATGTTCATTTTATTCCAAGTTTAAGAGTGTTCAATATTTTCTTTACATTTTTTGTTTATTTTTAGTACCTGTAATTTGTGACTTTTCTTAATATTTTACTAAGTCTTTGATAATTTTATACAATGTATTTTAATTATATTCAATGCCCTGCCTAAACTCACGCTAGTTTCACTGTTTCCCCTACACACCCAAGAATAGCTCTATATTCCTTTATGTTTTTATGACTGATAACTTGGTATTTGGATGATATGAAAAAAATGCCTGCCGGGCGGTGGTGGCGCACGCCTTTAATCCCAGCACTCGGGAGGCAGAGGCAGGCGGATCTCTGTGAGTTCGAGGCCAGCCTGGTCTACAAGAGCTAGTTCCAGGACAGGAACCAAAAGCTACGGAGAAACCCTGTCTCGAAAAATCAAAAAAAAAAAAAAGAAAAAGAAAAAATGCCTGTTATTCTTCTTCATTTTATTTTCATTCTATTTCTATATTTACATATTATATTATATTATATTATATTATATTATATCATATGCCTTATCTAAGCTCACTCATTCTCCTACTCTATCACGGATAATATGTAAACATTGCACTAACTGTATAAAATTTTGCATTTTTGAGATGCACCCATGTTCGTACGCACCATATGTTTGGGTGCGTGTGTGTGTGTGTGTGTGTGTGTGTGTGTGTGTGCTCACACGTGCACCCGTGTGCATAAACATGTAGTATACATGCACTATGGCACAAGTGTGGAGATAAAAGGACAACTTTCTGGAATCAGTCTTCTCCTTTCACCATAAAAGTCCCAGCAATCAAAACCAGAGAGTAAGGCAGCAAGAATCTTTACCTCCTTAGACATCAAGATGGTCCATGCATTTTTCCAATTCAGTAGTTGTGTACTTTATGAAAGATGAATATTGCCAATTTTTTTTGTTATTCAACTATTATATTTTCAAAATTTATAAACTATTTTAGACCAAGGTTCTTATTTAGTTAGAATATGTGTTTTTTATAAAAGATTTTTTTTCTTGGATTTAATTTCTTGGTAATTTCATGTAGGAAAACTATATTTTCATTATTTCTGCCCATTGACATATACCCAAAGAACCTGACACTCTATGCCATGGATGCTTTCTCACTCATGGTCTTTGCTATTCTACTCTCAATAGCGAGAACAAGGAAACAGATTGAAAATTTTTAAGATTATGAATGGATAACAAAAATATATCACATGTATACTCTGTAATACTGTTCAGTGGTAAGTAAAAATGAAACCATAAACTTTTCAGAAAAATTCATGGAACTAGAAAGGATTATACTGAGTGGGGTAACCCAAACCTAGAAAATAATGTCAAATTTTCTCTCTCATTTGTGGTTCCTAGCTCCAAATCTTTATTCATGGTTTCTTCATTATTTTTATTGTTCTATTGAGCTATATATTTTTCTCCACTTCCCTCCCTTCCTTCCTCCTCGCCTTCTACCTTCCCCCATGATACCTACATACCCAGTTACTCAGGAGATCTTGTCTTTTTCTACTTCCAATGTAGATTAGATCCATTTATGTCTCTCTTAGAGTTCTTTTTGTTGTCTAGGTTCTCTGGGGTTGTGAAGTGTAGACTGGTTTTTCTTTGCTTTATGTCTAAAAACCACTTATGGGTAAGTACATACTGTACTTGTCTTTTTGGATCTGGGTTACCTCACTCATGATGTTTTCTAGATCCATCTACTTGTCTGCAAATTTCAAGATGTCATTATTTTTCTCCTCTGTGTAGTACTCCACTGTGTAAATATACCATATCTTCTTGATCCATTTTTTGGTCAAGGGGCATTTAGGTTTTTCCAAGTTCTGGCTATGACAAGTAATGCTGCTATGAACACAACTGAGCTCATGACTTTGTGGTATGATTGAGTATTGTTTGGGTATTTACCCAAAAGTGGTATTTCTAGGTCTTGAGGTAGGCTTTTTTCTTATTTTCTAAGAAATCACCATAGTGACATCCAAAGCACTGTACCAGTTTGCACTCCCACCAGCAATGGAGGAGTGTTCCCTTTACCACACATCCTCTCAATCATAAGCTGTCATAGTGTTTTTTTTATATTGGCCATTTTTATAGGTGTAAGATAGAATCTCACAGTTGTTTTGATATCCAGGAAATGCAGGACACCATAAAAAGACCAAACCTAAGAATAGAACAAGGAGAAGTCCAAATCAAAACACAGAAAATAAATTCAACAAAATCATAGAAGAAATCTTTCCCAACCTAAAGAAAGATATACATGTGTAGATACAAGAAGCTTACAGAATACCAAATAGGCTGGATCAAAAAAAGTCCCCTTACCGTATAATAATCAAAACACTAAACATACAGAATAAAGAAACATATTAAGAGCTAAAAAGGAATATTCACAGTTTCTTATAAATCTGTTAATTCATTAAAAATACTATCATGAATATTCATGGGCTTTACAGGTCTTCCTTTCCTCTGTGTTTGCTACCAGAGCCTCACTATAATTCTCTGCCACATTTTACTGCTCTGATTTTCATACTTAAATTCTTACACAGAGACACCTGCATATTAAAGAGAACCACTTTCTCTATCATATGCCGAAGTTATTGGTTGTAAATAGACTTTTACTATTTCATCTAACCTGAGAATGGAGTTGAGAAAATTCATTGCAAACCTATACCAGATAATCATGGTGTCGATTTTGTTTGTTTGACTAGCTTGCCTCCACTGTTTTGATATCAGATGCTGTGGGTAGCTTGGCTTTCTGTTTCAGTAATTTTATTAGTTGCACTACACAATAAGGGACAGTTTTTCACTGTGTTCCATCACTGCTTCCGCATGAGCAGTATCGTAAGATATCCACACTGGCTAGAGTCTATATGGTCTTCACTGCAGTGTTTTGTTATTGCTACTTTCATCATCAACATCCACCATGTAAATACATAACAATGACAAGATTCATGAACTGGCAATCATGAGACCAAAACAAGCAAACCAAATGCCAGAGCAATGCTATAATCTCAGTGTTTCATATACAAGGAGCCTTTAAATGGTGGAGAAAGTGTGTGTGTGTGTGTGTGTGTGTGTGTGTGTGTGTGTGTGTTTGCCTCTAATTTATCAGTTTTAGTGTAAAATCATGATCCTATATAACTTCTGTGAATGAAGTTCTGTACAAGAGTCATTCTTCCTGTTTTGTTGCTTATTCTCAGTTCTGTGGTCCTATGTGCCAGCTCAACTTCACCCCTGAGGTCTGGAACATTTACAATGTAATTCTAATCTGAGTATTTGTAGAGTTCTAGAGACAGTGTAAGAGTATTCCTCTTCTGATATCTTTGTGACCACATTGCCTATCTTTAATCTCACAAATAAATCTTTTCCTCTAGTCATCTGATATATTACAATTTTTATGACCAAATCTATTTTGTTATTTAAGACTTACACAAATTTCTCAGTTAACAGATCTTAGCATAGAAAGATATACTGTATATTTATGGTAGTTGGGGAACACCCATTAAATGAAAATGACACTATTGTGTTTGGTATTTTCCTTGGGAAGATACAATACTTAACAAATGTGCTCACCACATGAATGAAACCTAGGACAGATCACACAGCCCAAATAGTTGAATTTGTCAGTTTACTGAGGTTACTAATAGTAGCATGGATGAGGAGTTATATGGAAAAGCAAGGAATGGCTCAAAAGCATTACTTAAATCACACCTCAATACAGGTGATTATCATAAACGCCAAAACCTGGAGCTCTCTACACAACTTTCAGGCAGTAAACATCTTGAATTTAGCAGACCCGGATAGCTCACTATTTCTATAGAAAGTAGGAAGGGGCACTGATGAATCTTGCAATTTTCTGCTTTCTGGTACATATGGTGTTTGTTTAATTCCTGAGTCCCCTGAGCCTTTCAACCTCACATATTCAAATGAGGATGTTTCAATTCAGAGAAATTTTTGTACAAAGGATCCCAATGAAGTGAAAATTGGAGGTTCAGTTCTCATAGATGAAGGGGAATCATTAATTTTTTTTATTTGTGCATCTTTATGCAGGAAGTCATGATAAGCCTTCACTGTCTGCCTGGCCAAGCCATGTTGTTCCTCAAGGACAGTATGTGGAACTTCGATGTGACTTTTATAATGAGTCTTACATATTCAGGCTACACAAAGAACATGGGGATCCTAACCAACAGGTCCATGAAGGAGTGTTCCAGAGAAAGCTTGTCTTGGGTCCTGTGACAGCAGCATATGGAGGAATCTACAGATGTGATGATTTTAAAAGTCAATACCCAAATGAACTTACAGCATACAGTGACCCTCTGAAGATCATAATTTCAGGTCAGAGATGATGTTTGGAGTGTCTTTACATAATCCCCAAATCTTCCAATCCTGAAATTTTCAGGAAGAGTGTTAGACAGAGGCTTGTATTTATAAAGGAATATTTAACAGAAAGAAACAGAAATGCGTTGGGTATAATACGAGACATTAGGACATGCATTTGCTAGGTCCAAAGTTTTCCTGAGTGTTAAAAGATTCAAGGAGAAATTGGGCTTGAAGATGGAACTCAGAACTTAACAAGTAGATATCAGGTCGGGAGACTATCCTGAATTATCCTGGGTCCATAGAACTACAAGGATGGATATTAAAAATTAAGTACAAATTCAGTGCTGAACAAAACAAAAGTTATGGCCAAGACACAATATCACTAACTTTGACATGGAGGAAGATCCTAAGTGCCAAGGGGTGCATGATGTCTCTAGACGCTGAAGGCAAAAAGAAATGGATACTCTCTGCTGCTTTGGCCACTAACATATCCCTGAAAATACCTAGTTTATGCCATTTGGGCTTTTAAGAATTCTGATCTACAGAACTTTTGTAATCTTTTTAAGAATCACCTTTGTGGTAATTTGCTATGGTAGTAATTGGAAACTAATACAGGAGCCTGTGTAAGGATGAATTAAGAAGCAGAGAGGAAATGTGCTGAGAGGAGAAGAGTCAGGATGCTAATATATCAACATGTTGGGAGGAAGCAATGCTTGTGATACTGGATCCAGAATGACTTACAGATGTTTGAACCATAGAGAGTACCAGAAGAATTTCCAGATTAAATACTCTCGATAATAATTCCTTTATCCTGTCAAGGATTATGCTTTATTCACAGTAGCATCAAAAGGACACATAAAGCAGCCTGGTGTGAAGTTTGTCATATTTCCTGCACTCACCAATCATGGAAAAATACAATAGGGTCTATGTAAGAAAGGTTCCAAGGACACATTCTCACCACAAGCCAGTGGAAAAATATTGTGTTGTTCCTAGAGCCAAATAAATGGAAAATGGACACAGAAAGACAGAGAAGTCTGTGTACAAAGGTGATATAAACACAGGCAAGGGCACTGGGACACTGACAGGAAGGACAGGTTAAAGGGGAAAACCATGTTTCCTTTGATTCATAGATTTGGGTCAGGTTAAGACTCACAATCTCTTTATTTTTAGATATCTACAGGAAGCCTTTCCTCTTGGCCCTACAAGCTCCTCAGGTAAAACTAGGAGAGAAGGCGACACTGCAATGCCATTCAAAGATTATGTTTGACACTTTCACTTTGATGTCACATAGAAAGAGAATAATCAAGGACTCTTACCAGCTGACTGCAGAATTTCATCTTGGGGGATCCCATGCCAACTTCTCAATAGGTCCTGTGACACCTGAACATGCTGGGATTTACACATGCTATGGTTCTTTCCATCAAACACCATATGAGTGGTCTGAATCCAGTGACCCTATTGACATAAATATCACAGGTAAGAAGTTGTTACCTGCTCATTATCTGTGAGACAGAACATATATTGTCTAGACTGGAAGTCTTGAGATGTCACAAGGGAGATGAAGGTAGAAAGCTTAGAGAAAAGAAGCCTTGGTGAGTATATTACTGACATAGACAATGAAGACAGAGACACGAGAACAAACCATTGGTTATAACATAAAGCACAGATACAGGGAGGTCAAAGGAGTCATAAATAAAGATGAAAAGAAAGTGGCAAGTAGGCAAGCTTGATATGAATTAGATTCAATGACATATTTCTACTTATGTTCAAAGTCCTATATAGTTCAGAACTTTGTCTGCCCTCTACCTTGTAGAGACAAGAAGTTTGCCAGAAGAGAGAAATGAATCATGTGTCTGACATAAGTTTAAATTCTTAATGGATCCAGTGGTTGAGTCGTGAGGCCTAAGAATGGATGGCATCCATAGATTTTTCTTCCTAGTTGACACTTTTACACTTTTTGTATTTGTATTATACATCCCAGACTACACTTTTTGTATTTGACCCATTATACAACCCAGAATAGCTTTGTAGTGATATTTCATTTGTATTTTAATAAATAAATCTTGCCTGAAGATCAGAGAGTAAAACAGCAGCACTAGTCAGCCTTACAGACAAGGCAGTGGTGACACACATCCCAGTAGCCATATTAGCTTGCCATATAAACAGGGTGGTAATGGTGCATGCTGTTAATCCCAGCACTAGAGAGGAATATAAAATGGGAGGAGACAGCTCTCACTCATAGTCTCATTCTGAGAATTGTTGGAGGCAGGATTGTCATTTTTGGACTGAGGAAGAGGTAAGAGCCAGTGACTGACTGTTCTTCTTTGATCTTCAAATTGAACCCCAATATCTGTCTCTGGGTTTTTATTAACCGTGCTCCAAGCTTAACCCTGGATAACTGAGTAAATCAGCAATCTCCATCTGTTCATAACATCTCTAAACTGTTTTTAGTTCGTGTTGTAAAGTTATTCAAACATTCTTGGATGTCTAAAAAATACTACAGGGTGCCTGTACTGCTAACCTGATTCAAATAAAGCAGAAAATATATATTTATATTTTCACAGAGTGAGTCAGAAAAGGGAAACTGAGAGGAAGACTCAGAGATAGAGCTAAAGATTGCTGAGGAAATATTAAGCATAGCATGTTTAGAAGGTGCAAACCTACAAAAAAACTTTAGCCTGCATAGAAATTTGAAAGTAGAGATAGATAAATAAAATCAGATATTAGATATTTCAAAACAAAGATAAGGAAGCAGATGAAAGATCACACGTGAACTGTATACATACTATAGGCACAAGTTAGGGAAGATCATCATGGCTCCTGTTCAAAGCAAATGCATTCCTGGAATATTCTGTGGATTGTAAAGAGATTAATTAACACAGATATGTAAAAAGAGATAAGATAGAAAATAGATAACTTAGAATGAAGTTAGAGTCTAAGTTTTTAAAATACATAGAATGGGAGAGTTAGAGGTCACTAAATTGGAAATGGACCATGAGAAGGGAAGGAGATTAAAAGAGGGATGGGGAAAGATGTAGAATACATATGCTATGAAAGAGTAAATGGGGAGGGAAAGGACCAAAAAGTTGGTATAGGGGACGGGAGTGGGGAGAAAATGAACAAAGCAAATGTATGAGAATGTGAAAATGAAGTCCATTACTTTGTCTGCTATTTAAAGCAAAATAATTAACTCTAAATATACCCATTGATTTAAAAATCATCCAGAATAAAAGAAAGCAAAATGAAAACCAACAACAGAAAGCAATAGGATTAGTGGAATTTGAAAGAAAATAAAAAATAAACATATAAATATATAGGTTTATGTAAGAACAATTAAAAAGGATGTAAAATAGTGTAACTGTATTTAATTTTGGAAATTAAAAAATATTTTTAAAAAACCTATGAAAATACATTATATATGTATGAATATTTAATAACTAATTTAATTGAGATATATTATTAATATGATAATAAAAACATACTTTACAAAACAAAGGGAATGAACCTATGTGGCTAGACACATAAACTGTCCAAAACAAAAATTGGTGGTAAATGTTTGTGTGCTGTGATGAGATCAGAGAGAGATTCATTATGATAATGTAGAAGAAAAGAGAAAGAGAGAGCAAAAGAAAGAAAGAGAGGCAGGGAGAAATGGAGACATACAGGGAAAGAGATAGAGATAACACAGACATGGAAGGAGAGAGAACACTGAAGAATAAATAAGCCCTAAATGCTGCTAAAAAAAAACTGCCCCTCTGTCTCTTTTCTTCCAGGTTTATACAAGAAACCTTCTCTGTCAGCCTTGATGTGTCCTGTGGTGATGTCAGGAGAAAACATGATCTTGTCCTGCACATCTGACCATCAGTTCGAAATGTTCCATTTGTCCAGGGAAGGGGTACCTCAGGGACATGGGATTCCTGCAGTCGTGAGCCACAATGGGATATCCAAGGCCATCTTCCTTCTTGATCCTGTGATCAAGAAAGGGACCTATAGATGCTATGGCTCTTTCAGGAATTTCTCCCATGTGTGGTCGTCCCCAAGTGACCCCTTGTACATTCCTGTCACGGGTAAGAGAATCTCATGCCTTGTGACTAATGAAATCCTAAAGCCATGGCTGAGAACCATCCTACTAATTGAGAAAAGGTATCTTATGCAGCTAAAAGAAAGTGTTGCTGACAGTCATTTTGTAATAAGATACACACACACACACACACACACACACACGTATAGCAGACATGTGCATAATACATGTGTTGTGTGTTATACAAAGAAAAAGAGATTATCACTTAAGGGAATGTGAGGAAAAGCTTGGAGTAAGGTTTCCTGGGATGGGCTGAAGACAAACAAGGGAAAAAGAAAGACAGATAATTATATCTCATTTAATATTTTTTCTAAAAAGACATGGATTTTGAAAATGGACATCAGATTACAAAATAATATACAAAGAGCCACCCAAACAATCTTTTCCTGCTTGGGCAATCATTCTGGGATATGTATGCACCCAGGAAGAATAGAAAAAGGTCAGGACAGAGTTATTGGGGATAAGGTTAAAAAAATCAGTTTGGGCAGGTCAGAGATGGAGCAGCTCTACTGAGCTCTCCCTCACATAGGTCTCTCCACAGTATTCCTATTGACTCATCACAACTTAAACCCAAGTCAACACCTTAAAGCAAATTGCATCCTATAATTCTAATGGCTCAGCCCTATGAGATGGAGTGGGTGCTGGTTACTGTCCAAATTTAAAAGACTGTCCACAAGGGAAAGACAGATAGCCTCTTGATGATTTTCTCATTCTCCTGTCCCCTTCCCTAGTAAACTCATCAAGGAATTGCACTTTGTCCAGAGAACCAGACTCTAAAACTAGTGAGTAAATGATTCTGCTTCTGTATTGTGGGAACTTGGGGACCAAAAACTTGCATCCATGTGTTTTCTCAGTTTCCTCCTGACTCAGTAGTCTTAACATCATCATCTCCTCTCTGATTCTTAAACTCTGCAACATCAATAAAAAAAGTGTATATATATAAAAAAAAAGATTTTAGGAGCAGCATGGGAACTATACCTGACATCTGCTACAAGTGGAAAGGAGAGCAGATTTTAGTCCTTACCAGGGACAATGAACTGCTAGTTCTAGTTCAGTTCCTCCTGGAAAAAAGCTTAGCAAGCAGATTGGTCTAATTTTGAAGAGAAGAATGATTTTATAAAATTATTACCTGTGATGAAATAGATTTGGTTTGACTTTTGCCCTTTGGAGAAATTAGTAGTTTGGTTCAAGAGTATTGTAGATGTAAAAGTTGCTAACCAGATTAAGTGGGCACTTGTATCAATCTCAGATTAAGATAATGAGCACATGACCTTTACCCAGTGTCCTGCAGTTTTCTCCAATGGGCAGAATGTCCATATATTCTTGCATGTGTGGACTTCTGCTGGTGCATGGACAACTTACTAGCAACAACACTGCTATAACTGACACACTTTTGCCAACAGTTATCAATTACCTATAGCCACTTGACTAGGGGTGGGACTTCATGTCCACCTCCCTTCTCCATGCTGGGATTTTGTCTAGCTTCACCTTGCACTGCTCTTGGGCATGTGATCTTGCCCTCTTGTGAAGTTCCCATATTAAGCTGTCCTCACTGTACAGAAGACAGTTTTCTTATAGTTATTCAAAGCTTCGTTTTGTAATCTCTTCTTCCATCTCTTTTACAATGATGCTGAACATTTGGAGAAGAATATGAGATGGAAACATCTCATTTAGGGCCAAGTATTCTATAGTCTCTTATTCGCCACAATTTGCCAAGTTGTGGGTATCTAAATTAATCACTATCTATCACAAATATAAACTCCACTGTTGAGAGTTGAGAAATGCATTATGTATAACAGTAAGTCTTTAGGAGTCAGTTTAATACTATTTTCATTTAGCAGAATATTACTAGTAGGTTCTACATCAAGACTGTCATAAAGAAATATTATAATAATTATCTTCAATCAATAAGTATTATGAAATCTATAAAAAATGGGGATCCTAAGATTTACCTCTTTGGGGGTTCATATCTCCCTGCAGATAACCACAGGATCATGAATATGTTGATTGGGCTATCAGTGACCATGATCCTTGTCTTCTCTGTCATCCTCCTCTATTCTTGCTGTTCTACCAAAAGGAGTAAGTCTCAAAACAAAGACAATGAGTGTCATCTGAATAGTGTGAGAAAACAAAACCAGAGAAATACAGGTATGTCTTCTACATTTCCAAAAGGATGCTTGGACCATTACAAGGAAACTGAGGGAGGACTTTCAGATTTTTACACTTTTTATTGATTTATTGAGCTATACAGTTTTCTCTGCTCCCCTCCCTGCCTCTCCCCTCCCCTTAAACCCTCTTTCATGGTCCCCATGCTTGCAATTTATTCAGGACATCTTATCTGTTTCTATTTCCCATGTAGATTAGATCCATGTATGTCTCTGTTAGGGTACTCGTTGTTTTCTAGGTTCTCTGTGAATTGTAGGCTGGCTTTCTTTGCTTTCTGTCTAAAAACACTTAAAAGTGAGTACATATGATATTTGTCTTTCTGGTCTGAGTTACCTCACTCAATATGATGTTTTCTAGATCCATCCATTTGCCTGCAAATTTCAATATGTCACTATTTTTCTCCTCTGTGTAGTACTCCATTGGGCAAATGTACCACATTTTTCTTAGCAGTTCTTCAGTCTAGGGGCATTTAGGTTATTTCCAGGTTCTGCTTATGACAAACAATGTTGCTATGAACATAGTTGTGCACATATCCTTGTGGGAAGGACTTTGGAGAGAGGAACTAGAGTCCTTCATCTTCCTCTCAGTTCTCATACTATTGACTAATTTCTCACAGCATCTCTGCATCTTCACATCCAAAGCAAACACTAATTTCTAGGAAAAGATTTTACAAGATGGGGGAGAGAAGGATAAAGCCTATTCTAAAAAAGAATTACTAGGGTTCAGCCTGAGTAGGACAGAAATGTGAACATAGAAAATCAGCACATCTGATTCCAAACTGCCATAGGTGAGCAACCATTGATTTTGCCATATCTCTCACTAGTACTTTACACCATTGTCCTTGATAGAAGAGCTGCAAGTTGCAATTAAAGTTCCAGGTGTTAGCCCACCAGATGGGAATCCTCTTATGAGCCAATCTCACTTAGGCAAGGCCATCAGACTACAGACACCAAAATGTCTTTTGCTTCTACTAGGCCTTTACATGTTTGCTGTCACTCTTTGGTATTTCACATAGTGTGAGTGGACAGGGGGAGATCTCCACTGCCTGTATTATAGTGTCTTTATCTCTTGGAAGCATCCCATTCTGCTGGGCATTTTCACCTGTGAATTGTCAAATCTCCCCTCCCTAAGCTGTACTGTCTAATTTGATAATAATAATGATAACTTATACAGAGTTTTGATGAAAAATAAATGCAAGGACATGTTTCATAGTCAGGTTCTGTGAATCTCATCTAAGGAACTGCATGGATTGTAGCTCAAGTTAATGACTAACAATTGAGTCCTAATAGCCCAGTTAGCATAAATTCTTTTAATCTTAATGTTGGGAGATGTGCTCACAGATCTCAGAGTGCTTCACAGTGTAAATAAAACTTAGTTAGACTAAGAAGTGTTTGTTAAATAATGTTGAGATGAAAAACCCCAGAAGACCATCTAAAGTTTTAGAAAGGCACATAGTTGAATGAAGAACTCTTTAAGTTCAGAGAACAAGAACAAAACAGAACAATTATTACTGGCTGAAGGGCTCTTTGTTATGTTTGGCTGATAAGCAAGGTAATGATTCATTTTTTTTTCTGTTTTTTTTTTAATTTATTTATTTATTAAGGATTTCTGCCTTGTCCCCACAACCGCTTCCCATTTCCCTCCCCCTCCCCCGATCAAGTCCCCCCCCTCATCTGCTCGAAGAGCAATCAGGGTTCCCTGACGTGTGGGAAGCCCAAGGACTGCCCACCTCTATCCAGGTCTCGTAAGGTGAGCATTCAAACTGCCTATGCTCCCACAAAGCCAGTACGTGCAGTAGGATCGAAAACCCCAAGGCCAGCTGGCCTAGGTCTGAAAAAGCATGGGATAAATCTGGACTAGCTGAACATAGTGGACAATGAGGAATACTGAGAATTCAAGAACAATGATTCATTTTTATATCCATTTTTGCCCTCAATCTCCTGGTATGAAAAAGTATTAATAAAATAGCTGTGTACGCTAAAGATTAAAAGTAGAAATGACTGATTGTTTTAGTCTTGTGATTCCTTTAAGATTCCTTATATGACTTTTTCAAGAAAAGTAATAGAGTAATTGGTCCTTTCCTTGTAATAACAAAATGCAGCCTGCCAGGATAATACCTGACAAAAACACCTTGCTTACCCATATCATTAATCTAAAACAAGTTGCTTGGTTATGAGTGTATGTGGATTCTTGGGATATTTTTTTTTACCTGTAATACATAAAATGTTTAATCATATGAGGCACATGTTTTTACCTATAGCCATTTACTTGAGAAAAGGAAGGCAACTGTTTTGACCCTTGTAATGCCTTGAAGAGTCTGTTGGAATAAAAACTGTAAAACAACATGAGAGGAGAGAGAGAGAGAGAGAGAGAGAGAGAGAGAGAGAGAATGATGAGAGAGAGAATGATGAGAGAGAGAATAAAAAAGGAGAATAAAGAGAGAGAGAATATAGAAGGAAATCATCAAGAGAGTTTGTGAGTGCCTTCTTCCCTAACCCACCTCAGAGAGAAAAGTCTAGCCTCACCAACTCCATGGATTCCTATCAAAGGCCTGTGCTGCTGGAGCCTGCCCCCCTCCTGAGACAGCAGTAACTATGAATTTGAAATTATAGTGTGGAAGTACTTAATTATGTGTGTTTGATTACTTCTGTCCTCTAAAAACGCAGCAAACTTGAATGAAGAGTCTGAAATGAGAACAATACTGAATAGACAGGTAGGTCCTCTTGAGTCTTCTCTTCAATATAGTCTAACACTCCATTCTCTGTGTGCATACAGCTTCACTTAACATTTACCTCTTTCTAGGACCCTGAAAGACAAGAAGTGCAGGAGGTGGAATACTTAGAATTTGAGCCAATGATCTTCAAACAACAACTGACCACTTCCATTTCCCAGATTACCAAGGAATTTTCCACAGATCCCAGTGTGTACATGGATGTCAGGAAATATTAAGATGAGATGGAAGATCTTCACCCCATTAGTTCTCAGAGAAAGATCTAAGGATGTCTTCTGTGGGGACCACACCCATCTTTCCAGCATAGTCTGAAAATGCAAGTGAAATAACAGCTGGAATCTGAGGGCAAAATCTCCTACTCTGGAACCATCCTTCATTAGTCCAATATGACTCTCAAAGTGACTTTCCTTTAGTTAAAAATGTGATAGCCCTCACTACCCACTCAACAGAAATCAGCTCTATTGCTTAGTCCAGGGGTCCCTATTTCCTTTCACTCTGTCTTTCCTTTACCACCTGAGTATCTGTAAATTCTAGACCTAACTGAAGCTGTAAGCATGATGAGTATTTCACAATTTCATATCAACTATTTTTATTAGTATATATTTCCAGAAAGTAAGAATGATATACAAATACTATGTCTCATGAAAACTGTGTGTGTGTGTGTGTGTGTGTGTGTGTGTGTGTGTATTTAAATCGCATTCACACCAATTATCCTATCTTGACTTTCTACCACTCCAGCTGTTCCCATTTAGGAAGCCCACTCTTAACTCTGGTCTTTATCATATACTGTTCAGTGTACACCAAATGCTGTTTGTCAAAGTCTTCTCTCAACAGAAACCTCTATATATTTCTTTAATATTTCAATGTGGACTTCTCCTCTATGAATCATTTTCTAGATGTAATTGAGGCATGGCATCTCCTCTTTCTCACACATTTCCATTAACATTCTGTTGAAATTTTAGCTCCTCTGAGTTGAAATATTGCATGTTGGATGAGAATTCATTAAGACTCAGGAAGTAAACAAAATCGCACAAGAAGCAGAAAGACTTTGAGACATACATAATTGACAAGGGCCCTCCCCCTTGTAATAGAAATAGCTGAGAAGAGACCCTCCAATGAACCAAGCTGCCAGTAGCTAGCTCCAGGGATGCAGCTTTAATGAGTCATCACCCAAGCTGGCAGTCACTTTTGAGAAACCTATGTTCTAATAATTATCCAATCACCCTTGTCCTGCAGTTAATCCTATTAAACTCATCAGTTCAGTAAAATAGACCTGAGTAGATTATTTATTTGATCTGTCATTAGTGACCAATCTGAGAAGAATAGATGTTTGCACATCTCTTTCCAGAAAGACGCAAAATCTATGCACACATTCACATCAATAATCACAGACAAGTTTTCTGTTATTATGATAATACCCCTTATTCAAAAACTAAATGTGGTAAAGGGTCTATATGAATTATATATCTTTTTTCCATTTTATTTTTGTTTTTTTTTTTTGAGACAGGGGTTCTCTGTGTAACAGCCCTAGCTGTCCTGGAACTAGCTCTTGTAGACCAGGCTGGCCTCCAACTCACAGAGATCTGCCTGCTTCTGTCTCCCAAATGCTGGGGTTAAAGGTGTGTGCAACCACTGCCCAGCTGGATTACATATTTTATACAATCCATCGAGAGAGGCCAAGGCAGGATCCTGGAGGCAGAAACTGAAGCAGATGCAATGAAGTTTTACCACACATTGAATTATTCCCCGTGCCTTGCTCAGCCTGCTTTCTTACACAATTTAAGATGACCACAAGAGGAATGCTACTACTCACAGTGGTAAAGGCCTTCCCACATCAGTCATAAATCAAGAAAATGCCCAATAGACTTGCCTATAGGATAATCATATTGATGCCTTTTCTCAGTTGAGACTCCCACTTGTTAAGTGACTATAGTTTGCATCATGCTTGCCAAACTCTCAACTCTTTTTTTTTCTGCTTTATTTTTATTATTTATTTATTTATTTATTTATTAAAGATTTCTGCCTTCTCCCCTCCACCGCCTCCCATAACCCTCCCCCTCCCCCAATCAAGTCCCCCTCCCTCATCAGCCCAAAGAGCAGTCCGGGTTCCTCAACTCTTACACTATCCCATATGTTATCTTTTGCATTTTTCTGCATTTACTATGAGATGCATCTTTGTTTCTATGTCTGTCTTTCTGTTTGTTTGCTGTTTTGAATCAGGACTTGATAGTTATGCTTCAAATTGTGATCTTCCTATCTCTGCCCGCCCCCAAGATTAAGATTACAGGGACTGTGAGCATCATGAAAATGGAATTTAATTTGAAGCCTCTTTAATACAAGTTCCCTTCCAAGAATGCACAAAACAGATGCTCTTAGGTCCAAGTGACAAAAAAAATCTTTAGCAGTAAAAAAATCAAGTAGAACATTTTGGAAAAATGGATGCAACTTGAAATGATCATTATATGGCACAAAATAATCAGATTCAGAATTATAAATGAATGCATATGCTTATATGTGGAAAATAGATTTTAAATTGTGTTTTTACTTTGTAATTTTGTACTAAAATTTTAGGTTACCACACAAAGTGCTTGGTTTCATTAAGAATCTTTATATATATATATATATATATATATATATATATATATATATTTGTCATAGTGTGTGTGTATGTTTACGTGTGGGTGTGTACATTTTGTGTGTGTGTGAGAGAGAGACAGAGGAACAGAGAGAGAGAGAGAGAGAGAGAGAGAGAGAGAGAGAGAAACAGAGAGAGAGAGACAGAGAGAAAAATACCACCGTAAGAAAACAGGAAGCTTTCTTCTTAGTATAAGATTTTTAAGTTTAAGGAACTTTCACACGAGAATGCCATGTATTTAGATCATATTCAGTGCTCACTCCTCTCCCACAAATGGCGCTCTTATAAAGTCTACATCAACATATCCCAGGCCTCAGAAAACATAATTAAATGGGGAAGGGAAACAAATGTAAAAGCCACAGGTTATGAAGGAGTGATATGAAATGATGGTCTCTGAATGTGATAGAAAAATTACAAATATGCACCTACAGTAGCTGAGATTGTCTAGTGGGTCAATAATCATGAATATGCAACTGTGTCCATGGTGTGCTGATGACTAAATGTCCTTCAGGTATATTTTCAGGACTTGTGTATCTAGATAAAATGGTGAGACTTGTTTCTAAATATTTTAGACAATGGTATATGATTGATATTTCTGCTAGTTTAAACTTTAGTATTAAAGGTCATCCTGCCACAATCTAGAATCACTTCAAAACAGAGTCTGAAGAAGATTTTTTCTAAATCAGAGAGAGTTGGCCTTTGGACATGTTTGGGGAAATTTTCCCTCTTTAGTTTAATTAATAATTAATTAACTACCCACTATTTAGGAAATGACACCATTTCCTAAGCAGGATATTCTGAACTGAATAAAGTAAGCTGAGAATATACACGCATATCTACATCTCTCCTGTCTAACAACAGAGTGAAGTGACCAGCTACCTGACTATAGAGACTGTTTCTGTAGCTTACCCCAAATAATGGAACTGTTAGTCAAATAAACATTTTCTTTATTTAAACAGAAATCAAAAAGTTAAAAGCAAGTGTGGTTGTGCATATCTGTATTCCTAACATTTGTCAAGATGAAGGAGAAGGAACTCAGTTTGAATCCAATCTTAGGCTCATAAGTGAGTTCTGGTTACATTGGGTTGCATAATAGAGGCTGCCAGAAAAAGATTAAAAGAAATTTCAGGTGAAAAAAAAGAAATAAGAGTTTGAGCATCACTGGACATTGCATTGAAGAAAACCCTCCTTTCATGTCTGAAATATAAACCAAAGGATTCTTGGTCTTTTCTAAGAGTCCACTAAAGAGAAACTGAAAACTTTTCAAAAATGAACTGTTCCTTTTGCCTGTAGAGAAAGAAGATGTAGAAATCCTGTGGTCAGAAAATCAGAACTCAGATCTGGAGGGGTACTTGGATCCCACAGCACAGCCTGCTTCAGGGCAGAGGAGATCTGAGAGCATGTTCCAGTCCTGACATGACCTAAGAGAGGGCAGACCAAGAATAACTCCCAAGTACATAGTCAGCCACAACAAAGACTGCACCAAGATGCAGGGACTCTGCTGACCTCATTTGAAGGAAGAGATGGGCAGACACCTGTTGCAGGAGCTCCTTCTGCCAATAGCCACTGAGATGCCAGCCCACTGGGGTGTGGTCTCTCGCCCTTTAAAAAAGTGGCCACTTCCCTCTGCTCTCTCTCTGGCTTCTGGCTCTGACTTCCGGTGAGTAGGCTCCATTCCTGATTGTGCAGAGGGCTGTTGTCTGGGCCGGTGATCTGTAAGTTTTTCCCCCTTAAAATAAATAACCTCTCTAATAATCTAATTCCAAACTGGTGTGGGATTGTTTGTGACTTAAACCTTCAGGCACCAATGCAAGAATTTCTCCAACATTCTGAAAAGCAACATGATAACACCAGAATCCAGTGAACATGCAACAGGAAGACTTTAATGTCCTAACACAGAAGAAATAGAAGAAATCAACTTTAAATGTGACATTATGAAAATGATGGAGACCCTTAAACAGGAAGTAAAAACACTCCCTGAAAGAAGTGGAAGAGAAGACAAACAAAAAGTTAGAAGAAATTAATAAATCTCTCAAAGATACCCAAGAAAAAGAATCAAACAGGTAAAAGAAACAGTTCAAGACTTGAAGACCAAAATGAATGTAATAATGAAAAGACAAACAGATGGATGGCTGGACATGGAAAATCTGGGTAAATGAACAGGAACTACAGAGACAAGTATAAACAACAGAATACAAAAGATATAAAAAGAACCTCAGGCACTGAAAATACTATAGAGGAAATAAACTCATTGATCAAAGAAAACATCAAATGCAAGAAATTCTTAACACAAAACATCCAGGCAATCTGGGACACCAAGAAAAGTCCAAACCTAAGAATAAAAGGGATAGAAGAAGGAGAAAAATTACAGCTCAAAGGCCCAGAAAATATATTCAACAAAATTGTAGTAGAAAATTTTCCCAACATAGAGAAGGTTATTCCTATGAGGGAACAAGAAGCATACAGAACACCAAATAGACTGGATCAAAAAAACATCCCCTCACCATATATTACTTAAAACACAAAACATACAGAATAAAGAAAGAATATTAAGAGCTTCAAAGGAAAAACTTCAAGTAACAT